CTGTAGCATTGTCACAACCCAGGCATGGCTAGACCAGGCGTTCTACCCCCTACTGCTTCTGGTGGCGGTGCTGTGGCTTACGGAGCTCGCCGCGCAATGGAAAGCCTGCCAGCGGAGGTGGACTGCCCAGAAGTTAACACACGCAGAAGAACTTTGGAGCCAGATGTCGTTCCCTAACCCCCAGGTACCTACTATATAGGGCCCTAGGAGCTCTAGTACCCTATATAGTAGGTACTTGGGGGGTTAGGGGTTTGTTGCCGTTGCGCATGCATCGTTCCGGGGTGGCCCTAAACCTCTTAGGGTCTAGGGTTTAGGGTTTGGGGTTTAGGGCTGAACCCCGAGCCATGAACCCGGAACCCTCGCTTCAAGCACCAACCACCCCACGGCGTAAACCCCAAGCCTTACACCTTCAACTTCCAGCGCCGGCAGACATTTTTTCATGTGATGCGTTCAAGGTTGGCGGCTGTTGTAATTTGGAGTGTGTTTTCTGTTTTTGGGGTGGGTGCAATGCTTCGAGTTTTGAGGCCTCATGAGGTCTCCAATCTCAGCCCCAAGCCAAAAGCTTCTCAACGACACCATGCCCGCTCTTTGAACTTCGCAAGCCTGAGAGGAAGCGCACAGCCACTGTGAAGTGTCGCCCTCCACCTTCCGATGCATCGACGAGCCCAGGTATCCGGACCGAAGATGTGAAGGAAAGCTTGAGATAGGAGTACCTACATCACCCCGGAAAGCTCCTCCACGATAACTTTAATGATCTAAAAAACTATATATACAATCTAAACCGATGACTTTCTTCTACTTACTCAGGGCCTTATACGTATTTGACGGACTATCTTGAGAACTGCTGCCTTCAGTATGATGGGTTGTACCCCATCTTCTGGTTGGGCAGCGTGCTGAGTTCCAATCCCTGCAAACGCGAAGTGCGCAGCCCCATGCAGAGAAGGCTAGAGATTACAGTAGTAGTATCGTTCGTTTCGACTGTCTGGATTTTCTTGCATAACTCAGGAAGTGTTTGGTGTGCGAGTGGGCCAAAATGGCCAACACTAAATGGCGGTCTCTAGCACTGACACAGTCATGTTCATCAGCACTGGGAGAATCGGCTCTCATCTATAGGAAGTATAGGAATCTTGTGTGTGCAGAAATACACTCCTCCCCTTCACCTCTTCATTACATGATCGCGCAAACTGCCCTTCAAGCAGACCTCATCTGCATGCTGGGATGCACTGCAGCCTTTGCTCACAACTAAACTAACTAACTGCCTTGAGGCATCCTGTTGCCCCATGTACGCTTGGGCTGATTGCACAAGGCCCCTCGACGCGGAGCCCTAGCTCCCCGATCTCCAGCAGCTACCAGGAAGCGTGCCGGGCATAGCGAGTCTGAACAACCGATTCGTGGGTTTAGGGTTTAGGGTTTAGGGTTTAGGGTTTAGGGTGACATCATGTCCTCATGATGCCTACAAGCTACGACCTCTGTCGACCGTCGTTGGCGAGTGCTTTTGAACGATGCCCCAGTTTAGATCGCATTGCTGATGTGGGCCTAAGCTAGGGGAGCCTTTCTTTCGACCCAGCAAGGCCTGGTGAAAAGAGACACCCCCTAAGGGTCCAAGTACCCAAATAGTAGGGTTTCAAGGTCCAAAAACCATTCAGAGTATGGATTTTGGGGCCTAAGACCTTACTATTTGGGTACTCGGACCCTCTGGGACCTAAGTTTCGGCTTCCGGAAAACAGCAGAACTTCAGAGCTGGATCTTGGCATACCGTCGGGCTTCATACGAGAACCTGTCAACCGGTTTCTATGTTTGCCATCCAGACTCTGCATGCCGATTTCTGTCGTTGTCTCCAACGCCTGGATGGGAGGATGAATCGAATGACACCGTTGGCTGCTTTGCCCCTTCTCGGCATGGAAGGTAGGGCTCGGGCTCTTCATCCCACGGGCCACTTCACGTCTTTTGAATGTCTTGCGTCGACCTTTGGCGTTGTCTTGAATCAGCTGACGTTCTCATGTGAGGAATGCCGCCTATGGCGGAGATTCACTAAAGCCCAAAGAACAGGTCTACCTGTTGTCTTCATTGTGGTTCCTCTTAGGGGTTAAGCTGGTTAAGTTCCCTTGAAAGATCCTAGATACAATACAATGAACCTAAACCTTGAACCCTGAACCCTAAAACCTAATCCCTGAACCCTAAACCCTGAACCTTAAACCCTGACACCTGAACCCTAAACCCTAAACCCTGAACCCTTTAAGCTTTCCGAAGCCTCTGGGGCTAAGGACCTGGATCCCTTCACCTGGTGCCGGGCCGGTAGGCAGTCAGCCAAGGCCAGAGACTTTCAGGCTCAGGGCTGAGGTTTAGAAGTAGTCTACACTACGGCTGATGGACAAAATCCTGCATGACCTTATACACCTAAACTATGGGATTTATGGCACTATACTATATTATGGGTCATGCAGAATTTTGTCCATCAACAGTAGGCTTGTAGTAGCTTATAGTAGCTTACAGTAGTTTAAAACAGTTTATAGTAGTTTAGGTCGTGAATGTGAGTTTAGAGTAGTTCGTATTAATTGGGATCGGTTTAGTTGATTTATATCAGATTACCTTCCCGTATATTTGTTTAGAAGGAGCCCTTCTAGCGGCCGCTGTGCTCTTCCTGTCCGCAAGTGTACCGGAGGACCCTTATAATGCAGCAAAGATCGCTGTGAGCCTTTAATTTATAACTTAGTTCTCCAATAGCCAACCTTTAAACTTTTTAGGTTCTTATAACTTAGTAGTAATCTGAAAGTTTAACCTTTCATTCCCTGGCTTATTGGGGAAGTAAGATAAGATCTGGCCCCCGGTTCGGGCTTTACTGGGTCGGGCTCCGCAGGGTGAAGACCTGACTCTACAATGCTGCAGTGCTTCGGGCTCATGACAGCCTGCACTGGTATCCTGGTGTTGGGGGATCGTCGTGGCTGCTAGAGAGTTGATATACTGTATCCGTTCATTATGCACAGCTTGAGGCTGGATGCGGTCCTCCCCGACGAACCATAGACCAAGATCTCATCTTTGGCTTTCGTGAAGCTCGATGTCACCGTGGTGGCTCGCAAAGAGTCACAAGACCAACAGCACGAAGCAAGCAAGCGATGAGTATCAAGCAATCAAGCACCATCGAAATTTCCTTTCTTGTAGTGATGGGGTCCCACCCGTGGGTTATTGAGCAGGCTATTTCTCCGCTTGGCCAGCCCTGCACACGTCCATCACCGAATTGTTCCCGCAAAAGGGATTTCATAGTATGCAAATACTCGTAGCATCCACAACAAAGATTTGGATGCCAATCGCGCCTGCCATAGGGCCAGCACTGTGCCAGTGGGAAGAGCAGCCAGGATCTCGTCGATGAGGCTACGCACCACGACAGGCAGGTCATAGAGCAACCTGGTCGCACGGAGCCCGCGAAACGATGCTGTGGACCTTGAAGCAGGCTCACAGTGTTGCAGAAGCTAGCGGCAGATCGGAGTTCGGAACTCCGGTTCGCATCTTCTGCGAAATGCGACCTTAAAGCGTCGAGCTGAGGATGAAGTTCGGCGCGCCCAGGCCGGATTTCGGGCTTCATAGGGTTTAAGGTTTAGGGTGTTGGTATAACTGAAGCGGGGCATCCTTAGGTCCTTAGGCAGGTCGAGCTCTGATGAGGAGGGTGCTGGCAGTTCATGTTGCCGGAAAAGTGTCCGGACCAAATCTAGTTTGGTACAGCGTGGCGATATAGTAAGTGCTTGGCTGCGGGACCGATTTAATCGATATTTCTTGCTGTGACAAGGTCCACAGACCCCATGCCCACGCCGCTCCTAAACCCTGCCAGCCTCTGGGCCTCATTATTATAAACTCTACATGGGGTTGCATAATAACCCCGCGCCTCAGTTTTAGTCTGGGCTTTCCAATCATTTCAAGAAACCAAGCACAATCCTGCGAGGGCCCGAAGCCAGGCATTTCCAACTAAAGATGTACTACAACCCAGCGAGCACAATCCAGCCATGAGCGAAAACGTGGCACCGTGCTAAAGTTGTACTACGAACGATGACAAGAAATCACAACGATAGCCCAATTCCGAAATTTTTGCGATTTTTTTTGAACCCGACGTGTCATTGCAGGGGTGACACCTCATGGCTCCGTTCGTCACAGGTCCGAAATTTACAACCTTGGCTACTATCCCATCAATGAGGACATCCCAGCTTTGGTCGAGGCCTCCGGGCTCGCAGGGCGTTCTGAAGCGATACGAGGCTGACTGCAAGTGCATGGGGGCAATGGGCTTAGAAGAACTGCCTTGGAAAGCCGTGAGAGTGAAACTGCATCCTGGCATATAGGACATGATGCGCTATGCCATGCCAGCATGACCTGTTTTACTTTTGCCACATGACTCCTGGGTTCAGGTTGCTGTTCGTGATGAGTCGAAGCGCAAGGACTCTTCGATACGCTATTTTGCTCACTCTTTCTCTCCCTCTCTCTCTCTCTCTCGCTTATTCTTGTTTGTGGTCATGGTTTTTAGGGCTCAAGCGTTTGCCTGTGGCTTGAAGTGGCCAGGATGTGGAGCAAAAGCTGCGACAGCTGCGCCGGCTGTCTGAAGCGCCGAGTCACAACTTAAGGCTCTATGGCATCCTGTGCTCTTTTCATTTTCACTCTGCCGGCAAGGTTTCAGGTTGTTGCAATTGGCTGTGTTCGCTGCAGACGGTCGCTATTGCAAGTTTCGCTGCGTGACAGCGAAAGAAATTTAAATCGTGTGAAAAGTGTTGGATCTGAGATTGACGACGGTGTTTGTTTCTGCAGTACTTGTGACGACAAAGACTCTGCGATTGCCACTGCTGTCATATGTCAGATTTCTACAACCGTGAGTATTGCTACTGCTAGCACCAGGAGATATTGCCAATGCATTATTGCTGCGCTTTGGAAGCTTGCTGGTTCCACTCGGTGTAACGCACCACAACGTTTTTGTTCGCTGCACGTGCCAACCTTCCATTGCCTCATTGGCGATGGCCAACCTCCTAATGTCCACCGAACTTGATGGGGTCAGCCGATGCAACCTCGTTCCCGTCGAAAACCCATAATATCATCAATGCCCCGGCAAAGCAGAGGGAGACACTTCGGGTCAGGCGTCAGGGTTTAGCAACCCTAAGATTGCATTTCTTCTCGTTTCCGCCCAAGCCTGGGAGACCTGGAGAGACCCAGCTAGGTGAAAGCCTTCGTATGTGCTACCTGTAGTCCCCATTGTAGTGTCTTTTTTTGGTTAAACCAATGTTATAGTTAGGATCCTGTAACGTAACTCAAACAAGAAACTACAATGGAGACTATAGCTAGGTATACCTGGAGTTCCACTCGGACTGACACCCTGTTCTAGTCACTCAGGCAGTTCATATGGGGGTTTCCGAAAATAGGGGACCCTAATATAGTACCCTAAATAATAGGATCCTTATTATAAGGACCCCAAAATAAAGTACCCCAATTTTCGGAAACCCCATTTAGATGAGGGATTGAAAGACCCTTTCGTGTTTGCCGAGGACTTGTCCCCCTCGGGCTGGGTTCAGACCAAGGATCCGCGAGTGTTGCTAAGGCGGGTTGAGATTCTGGGAGTTCGAAGTCTATCCCTAACCCCCCAGGTACCTACTATATAGGGCCCTAGGGGCTCTAGTACCCTATATAGTAGGTACTTGGGGGGTTAGGGTCTATTATTTAGAAGCGAGGGCGTAGGACATGCGATGCCATTCCTGTTCGGTCTTTCAATTTGTTTTCGGGCATCCAGATTTCTGGGTTTGTGTAGCGGCTCTACGACAGGCTAAGGGTGCCTCGTGCATGATGGCGGTCAAGACACGCTACTTTGCTCACGGGCTCTTATTGCCTGGAGATCTACATCATGTCTTGCTAGTCTTTGTTCCTGTTGCTGCTAGAACCACCAGCAACGAATTTTGTTGTCGCTGTTGGTGTCGCTGGCCATGCTCCTGTAGCTGATCATAATCCTGCCTCTGACCTCTCTCATCATGAGAGGTGTGAGCAGCCGAAGCATCCAAAGCCTCCCCCCCGAACTTGGTATGCCAGGTTTCTCCTTGCTCGGCAATGCAACGTGGAGCGGGCATCCTGGCACTTCGGGTTCTGGTTGTGGGGGTTTGGTAGGGTTTAGGATTCAGGAGAGGCTCTTTTCCATGGGCGGCAGCTTCAACCCTGAAGCCAAACTCTGGGCCTTTACACCTTTCCCTAACCCCCAAAGTACCTACTATATAGGGTGCTAGAGCCCCTAGGGCCCTCTAAAACACTAAGCGGTCGCACAGGGCCTTTTTGCACTACAGGAAAACACATGAGCCTTCGGTTCGCGGAGTTCTGCAATTCACAGTCAGGCTCCCCTAAAAATCCACGTTTATGTGTTTTATAAAGTCTGTTTTTAGATGTCCATTTAGGATATATAATCAGTTATGCCTTAATTATT